CTTCATAAATTATTTTTTCTCTTGTTTTTTTCTTTTATTTTTCTGTCTTTCCTCTTTCAGTTCGTAATCTGAAAGTAACTCAGCTAATTTATTTGACTTCTCGGTTATCATTTTAGATATTTTTATATCCATGGAAATTTTACTGGGAGATTTTTTCTGAAAATTTGTATCGGCTGATTTAAAAGAAAGGAGTTTTGATGCTTTAGGAGTTGATGAAACTTTAGAGAAATCAGTATATTCTGAAAGAATTTCTGTATTCTTTTCGTGAGAAATTTCAGCAATTATTTTGTCTTCATTCAGTTCTGTTTCAGAAGTAATTGTTTTAAAATCTTTAGAAGATAAGTGAGAAACTTCTTTAATATCTGAAAATGATTTAAACGTGTTTGGTTCTTTTTCCATCTCAGAAATAAAACTTTGCTTGCCAGAAACAGATTTTAATACTTGAAGATTAGAATCTGGATTTACTGATATTTCTGAAGTGGTTTCATAATCTTGTATCACATCTAATTGCTTAACTTGAGATGGGATATTTAAGTTTTCTGCTGATGATTTGTCAATAAATAATGTAGATTCATTATCAGACGGTAACTCTAAAGATTTATGGGATGACAATTTTAAACTATTAGCTTTTACTTTTGAAAGAGAGATCTCTTTTTCAGATAAATATTTTTGAGATGGAATTGATTCTATAAAAATTGAAGAAATTCTTTTTTCAGACTTTTTTGAATCAAGAATATGTTTTGGAGATTCTGAAGTTTCCAAGTGAGGTGACTGAATTATTTTTTCAGATTCTTTTGACTCAGGAGTATATTTTGGAGATTCTGAAGTCTCTGTACAGGATAGCTGAATGTTTTTTTCAAATGCTTGTGATTTTAAATCTAGAATCTGTGCTGGAAAAGATGGAGATTTCAATGTCTGTATTTCAATTACTGGCTCTACTTTAGACATCTGTTTTTCAGGAACTGATGATGATGAATCTTTAAGAGTTGAATGTATGATTTTATCAGTTTCAACTTTTGAATCTGATCCAGAAATATTTTTTTCTGAAGGAATGGAAATAACTGAATGAAGGTTTCTTCTGTTTGAAAAGTTGACAGCTTCAGTTTCTTCATTAGAAATTAACATAGACTGTGATTGCTCCTGCTTCAAAGATTCTTCTTTTAATAATTCTATAGGTTTTGAAGTTTCAGATTTAGATATGATAAATGATCTTTGTTTCTCAAGAACTGGAATAGTTGTAGTTTTCTTAGATTCTTTTCTGTGTTCTTCTGTATTATATTTTTCAGATTTCACCTGTTTCAGTATTTGTTTCTGAGATTCTGCAATTTTTCTGGATTCATGTTTGGTACCTATTGAAATATTCATTGATCTATAATAACTTTGTATTTTATTTTAAAAAAAGTGTGATAATAAATTACAATGAAATGAGTTTTGGAACTGTCCATAATTTCTTTAATTTACTTATAAGTAACCAAATGTAATTTTTAATGATATTTAAAGTATTTAAAACAAACTATTTTTGCATTATTAATCTTTTAAACATAATTTTCTTTTTTAAATTTTAAAAAGTGCAAATTTAAAATAACTCTAAATACATGTCAAAATAATTACAGATAATAAAGTGTTTTATATATTTTTCCAAGAAGTGAACTATAATATATATATTATGAATTGTTATCAATTTATTTGTTAACATTTGTTTATATAAAGTTATTTTATACAGTGCCAAATTCTCATTTCAGTTTTAATTGCCACATTAGTAAAGATTAAAATTAATTTTCTTCACCATTTTCTAATACTTTGTTAGAGCTTTTGGAAACAGAAGAAATTCTTTTAGATTTAAGTGATGAAATATCTTCTTTATTATCACTCTTAATTATGTCCACTGTTTCTTCATTTTGGATATCTATTTCCTCTAATAATTCACTATCTTCAGCCTCAAATTCATGTTCTACATCATCATGCTGTTTTTTCCCTTTTTCTTTGATTTCTTCTATTTTAAGAAGTCTTTCTTCTTTTATTTGAGCCCTTCTTTCTTCTCTTAATTTCAGGATTTCAAGTACTTTCTGATATTCTTCATCATCACCAGGTGAAGGATCTAAATGCTCTATAGTTTCCTGAGAAGAGTATTGGTCTTTTGGAAATGGTGGTAATTGAGGAGAATAAGGGATTCCAGAATGTTTCACACCAGTACCAATGTAAACATTTTCTAAAGTACTGAAAGGAAATATTAATATAAGAAATTCAAATAATAAACTATAAAAATAATTTTGCAATGTATCTGTTATAAGATTAAAATATATATAGGAAAGAGCATATGATTTTAATTTCTTGTTAAAATGTAAATAAAAACATTCAAATAGATGTAAATTGCTAAAAGAAATATTTAAATACTGTATATTTATCTGTTATTCTCAATTAGCTAAGTGGCTTATGAATCTATGATTCATATAAACATAGTGCATTATTAAATTATTACTACTATGAGGATTTAGGCTCTTTTGTGAGTTTTAAAACTCAAAACATTTTTTTTATTCATCATTATTTCCCTTTGTCCTCCAGTTTTCCCTTTCTTGGAGGTTGAAATTAAACCTTTTGACCCATCACTGTGCTGCATCACTTTGGAAGGTGAACTTACTTAAGTTGAAGGTGAACTTACTTAAGTTGAAGGTGAACTTAAGTGAGTTGAACGTGAACTTAAGTTAAGATGAACTTAAGTTTTCAAAGACGTTCAGGACAAGAGATAAAGTTCTCCCCTCACAACAAGGGATTATTCATTTTCATCTTCGTTTCAATGTACAAATAACTAGCCAATTAACAAGAACCTCAACTTGTTATGCGATAGAGGGTGCACCGACAAGGGTAGACCAATTGAACAATCATCACTCAGGTTGCACCACATACTCTGATCTTAGTCACCTTAGGCCAGGGGTCGGCAACCTTTTGAGTCAGAAAAACCAAAATTACAATTTACAAAATTTCAAAGTTTTTAAAGAGCCACAAAATTTTTTCTTGCCAACAATAAACAGTACTCACATAAATAAAGTTTTTTGATAAAAAAAAAACCAATCTATTTATTCATAAGAAAAAATATCTATTTATTCATATATAAGTAGTGTTTTTCATAACAAATTAGATAATAGAAACATCCGATGACGGCGTCATTCGAGAGCTTTCAACGGACTGACGACAGTGACGACGTGTGTCACAGGGGAGGGGTGCGGTGAAAAGCGAGTACAAGTGGCCGAGAGATAGAATCAGTGCCTAATCCTCGTTAATCGATTCAGAACAATTTTTAAATGTATTTTTTTTTTGATAAAATAAATAATATTTGCGTATGGAACTAAAGAGCCGCAACTTCACATCCAAAGAGCCGCAGGTTGCCGACCTCTGCCTTAGGCAATTAATTCAGTGAGTTTGACAGCTGTTGTCAAATTTATGATGGGAAAGTGTCACAATAACGGATAGAAAAAGTAATAAATCTAAAGAACAGTTCTATTCCTGACAAGTATAGTAATACCTCGACTTACGCTACCCTGACTTACGCGAACCCGGAGTTACGCGATTTTCAAATCTCATCGATTCATCTTTTGTTTGAGAGCTACGCAACTCTTGATTACTCACTCCCCCCACACTATTGTTCAGCTTACATGTTCCGACGTGTCACGCGAAATTGACACATAGCTACAATTTATTTTGTGTTATTTATTTCTGTTTGTTATATCTATGGAGACTTGAGAGACTCTATGTGGTGATTTCTTGTAACCATGAACGAATCAAAAGACAAGATAAGATTAACGAGAACATTCATTAGTTTACATACATCTGACTTGAATTTTACACAAATTGAGAAATTATACCCCGACTTACGCGAATTCAACTTAGGCGGTTATCGCTTGGTCCCACCTATCGTGTAAGTTCGGGGTATTACTATAATATAAACAAAGTTTGGGGTATTACTATAATATTAACAAATCCCTGATGTAAGTAAAACTTACATGGGATTGCATCAGACCTAGTATTAGTCACCCCTCTGGGATGTGTATAAAAAGGGCTTGGACACAGTCCTCTGAGTGGACATCAACTGTGGACATCACCAGTGGAAATCGACTGAGGACCTCAACTGACCCATACCGTCACTCTGTCCATCACCACCTCGCTATAATCTCCAATGGTCAACTCCGCCAATCAAGGGATGTTTTTACCAACAGCCCATACTACAAGATTGGGAACATAGATGTGTGACGGTCCAAAACCCTTTTGTTTTAGAACAATATCACTTTTCTAATAAACTTCGTGATTAGGTAAAAAGGGAAAAAGAGGGACTTCTGTGGTCAATGACCGAGACGATCTCCTCGAAAAAAATCATTAGTATATCAATAAAAGAAATCTCCATTTGTTTAAAGGTAATTCTATAGATGTTAATATCAACAAGACGGGAATAAGAGATGTTTCTTATCACCTCTTTGGTTGCACGTGACAGGTGGTTACAGGAATAAATCGCTTCCTTTGTAGTCAAACGCAACGTTTGATATAAACAATATCTAGATAGTTGACCGGGTTAAAGAAATTATTGTCAGATGAATGTTAATTTATGAATGAGAGCCGTCAAACCTATAGAAATTTATATTATAAAATCATATCTTCTAGACACTGATAGCAATAAATTATACAAACTTCTCTGTGTCAGTTGTCAGTACAAGCTAGGTCCAGACATCAACACACGAACAGGTGTGGGTATAAATCATGAATGATGTCATAGTTCTCACCCCCCTCAAAAATAGTATAAAGAGAGCTTGGACGCAGTCCACAGGGCGGCCATCCCCAAAGGCGGACTCACAAGGCGGACATCGACTGCCACATCTACTGACCAATACTGCCATAACTGCCATGACGATCCAGGAACATTTTTACCAACGACCCATATTACGGATCAGGAACTTAGAGGTATTTGTTTTTGGATATCTATTTGTATACTCTCTCTCTGCGAATTCTCTCTCTGAGAAATCTCTCTTCTAGAGATCTCTCTCTCGTCTCTTAACTTAGAGAATAGAGATTAGATGTTTCATATGAAAGACGAATCATTGTCGTGACATAGAATAGAATTTTTGTAGATCTTCACCTTAGCCTTTGATATGTACAATTTTATAGTTGTTTATTAAATGTGTTATTCTTGTTCAACCTGTGTATTCATTTGGGAACCTGTCAACTTACCCATTAACCTCCCCACTCAATTTTATTTTGCCCTCCTATAAAGCTATCCTCTGACAGAGCTGCCGGTAAGTGGGGACAACTAACCCCCTTGGTTCTCACAGATGTATTATTGAGCAAATTTATTTATATACACTCTCTCAGGTCTCTCTCTTAGTTATAAGATAGATTAATAATAGTTTAACTTAGAGAATACTGGATGGAAAGGGTCCAGAACTTAGACAACTAGAATAGATTAATCATTGTCGTGACCTAGAATTTTTGATTATTCCCATTTTTGTAGCCATTCGCTTTTACATTTGCTTGTATTATTTTATGGGTTATTAAATGTGTTATTCTTGTTTGACCTGTGTAAGTATTTTGGAACCTGTTGACTTGCTCATCGACCTCCCCACTCACTTTTAGCCCTCTTAAAGCCATCACCTGAGAAGAAGCCGATAAGTGGGGACTAGCTCGCTGCTTAACCTCCTCGGGTTCACACTATTATGAAATTTCAATACTAAAAAATTATTTCTTGAGGCATTATCCAGCATTGCAGATTATAATCTTTTTCACATCTAATCTATCTCTATGCTGGCTTAAATCTCTAACATATTTCTGGATAATCTGCCTCCAAAAACATTATACTGTATAAAAATGACCTGAGCATTGCTAATAAGAATTTATATGAAGATTGATATTTTTATACAAATATTAAAGTTATAACAATTAACATTGATTTCCACGCTATCTATTAAAGCTAAATTTGTACTGATGAATAAATTTTTTATTATATCAATTCTTGCAGATATATTTTGATTTATTTGTTGATTAGTTGCTGTTACCATTCTATTCTTTTAATATTTGTAGTTATTCTCATATTCTAAGTTTACAATGTAATTTGTAATTTTTTAACTTGCATCTTTGATCATGATTTTATCTTATAGTCTAATGTTATCATTCTTTTAAGCTTGCAAATAAACACTAAACAGTTGTTTATTTACAATGTTTCTGGTTTTATAAATTTATTTTTTAATTGCTGTGATGGTCAGTAATGATTCACTTGCAGTTTGTGAAATATCAACATTTGTTTGTTTATTTTCTTTACATTTTATGAATGTAAAGAAAAATATCTCCAAATCATATTGAGATTCAAATGAAAACATTCATTTACTTATATTCAAGTTTATATTCAAGAAATCAAGTTTATATTTTAAAAACGTTGAAAGTATTTATATAAATCATAAAGAAGATAATTACAGCTTTAAAGCCTCAGAAGAAAGTACAATGGTTTTTCAAAATAACAACCAAATTTTTGGCTGCATATATAAACAAACGTGGTACTTTGCCAATGACAACACAGACATGGGGCCAATTCACAAATAAAATGGTGGCAGATTCTAAACTTGACAGTCCAAGAAAGTTACCAAACTAAAGAATACTAGAATTGAGAATACTAATCTGTACTGTCGTAGAAAAAACTTTTTAGCAATTTACAAGATACAATATTCTTATAATTACAGATATGATGGATTTGCAGCTATTTCATTCTGATTGTTTGAATTAACTACTATAGATTAATTATTATCATTCTTTTTTTCATATCTGTAATCCAGTTTTATCTCTAGATTTTTTTTGCAGAAATTGTTTCATATAATTCCCTTTTGAGAAAGTAGTTTTGAGAAATGTATTTAACTTTTTTGCTTCTTATGTAACATCTCAGTAGATATAACTAATTACAATCACTCATTATTTTAAAAAATTTCATGTTTAAATTCATTATAATATCTGTCGTACTTAAATAAACAGAGCTAAGTTACCATTATCATTAGACACAGGAGAAAGTAAAGGAGGGCCTTCAGATATTTCTTTTTCTTCACGTTCAACTAATGATGTTTCTTCTTGCACATAAATTTCATTAGTTTCTTTTTCCTGTTCTAATACTTCAAAAATCATTGATTTTCCTTCTTTACTTGCATCTCTTAATATTTCCTCCTCCTTTTCTTCATCAATATCATCAGTTTTTGAAATATTTCCAAACTCTTTTTGTGGTTTCATCCACATACAATGACCCTTTATATAAATTTTATTAACATTTTTGTACTTAAATAAATTTAAGAAATTTAATACTTATATGGTATTTAAATTATTTCTATAAATTTAAAATTAGATTTATAGGAAAAATAATATAAGTTAATTCATAAATTTTAGACTTAAGAATGAATAAAAACAACAATAAAAATTATTTTAATGCATTTAGTATTCAATTACTCTCAACCGACATACATAAATTGATCATGTACTGTACATGTATCAATATATATGTGTGGCTTACTGTCTTACCATCTGGTCTAAATGGAAGAATGAATAATGTCAAAAAACAACCCCCAGGAATATGAGGCAAAAGGAAGTGTGTGCAGGAGACTCTGGAAAAAGGGGAACAGGAGGGTAAAAAGCGCATATGGTGAAAAAAAGGTGAGTACCATGAACTGTGGACTGGGAAGAAGATGTGGAATTTAGGAGACTCTAGGATTGTAAACAATGACTTAGAAGGGATTACTGAAGAATGTTGGAAATTATAAAATTGAACATTGGTGTAAGAGTGATTATTTTATGATTATTGTATAAGTTATGAACTATCTATCCAACTCTTTACATTAAAGTTATTGTGTTAATTATTGTTCTTGTCTTATTGAGCTCAAGAACAATGGATCAACCCAAACACATGTGATAGGTGCTTACCTATTACACGTGTTTAAGTACACCTATCACTTGGTTCTTTCATCCTGTTTCTTAGCCATAGTTATCTTCTGCTTATGTGTATACTTCTATATTCATCTATTTATAACAAATTCGTTTTTTCTCCCCAACATATGTATGTACACCTCAGAAATCTTTGAATTTTTTATCAAAAGATTATCTTGTAAGATTTAAAAATTGCTTACATTTTTAGTGAATTACTTTGATTTCTTTAAAATTTTTAATTCTGATCTTTTTATAGATTTTCATATTAAATGAGTCAATATATATCTTATAGGTAAACAGCATTCTTATTTTGTCAGCAAATGCTTATCAATTTTAATAGAGATTTCAAATTATCAGCCAAGATTCTCTGATTTGATCCATAAAATTTTCCTCAAGTATAGAGAATAATTTTTCAATATTATCATTAAAAGTTTGACTTTTTTTCTGCCTATGTATCCTCTGGCAGCAGTGCCCCCAAACTATGAAAAAGGAGCACAAGCTATAAAAAAAAAGGATATCATACATTATGCAAGGAGCTTCAAACTATATGATTTCATGTTGGATCAATGCTTCCACAAGGTGGTGCTGGTTACACTCGGGGCTAACTTGCCTCAAAAACAAGAAATGAGGTTTTGGTCAACATACAATGAAGTTGGATGGGTCAATGGACAAATATTGTTCATTAGTTTCTTTTATATTTGCAGAATAGGCCAGAAGTCATGAATATATTCTGTTGTTTGGAGCACTTGGGATGCCCATACATTGGGGTACTTGGGGCACATGCTCCCCTTTTCCTAATTCCCCCTCAGGAATTAGGAAAAGGAGTATGTGCCCCAACGTATGGGTGTCTCTGTCTTCTGGTTATTATACTTAAAATTTTATAATGTTTTTGAACTTGGATAAATAATGATAAGATACTGTACATATAAATAATTTGTTTTCTATTATTAGTAAATATTTTCAGGTTTTCAAGAATCTAAAATGTCTTACCTGTGGTAATGCATGATAACTATGGTGCACCCAAGAAGAAAGATCAGGATTTGTTAATGCTTCTACAGAAATTTGAAAATTTTCTACTTTATTTAAGAAATACTGCACTCCTGTAAGATATTTTCAGATTAAAAAACAAGGAAAATAATTTGGTATAGTTTATTAAAAATAATAATAATTTACCACAATTTTGTAACCTAAACTAAGGTGACCAGATGTCCCACTTTGGTGGGACAGTCCCAATTTTTAAAATTTGTCCTGCCTCCCGCAACACTTGAAAAAAGTCCCAAGTTTTGGAAAGATTAAGTTTTTGTCAATTGTGTGTCATAAACTTATGTCTTATTTTTAAGATTTGTAAAGATCATTTAAGATTCGTAAAGGTGTGTCTGAGCATCAGAAATAAAGAATGTTGCACTGACAAAACCTTTTGTGTTCATGGCAAAGACCAACAGAAAATGGTTTGGGGTGTGCAGCTGAGCAACAGAGCAGTGCATGTTCACAGGATGTCCAAACGAGCAAAAATTTTGTTCATTGCTTGTTACATGGTGTAGAATATAAAAATTGTGGAATATGCACTGTCATTACCAAGAACTAATTTCCAGTACCTGACAGTGGTCTAACTGCCTATCTTTATTGTTCACAGTTAGCCAAACTAAAGTCTGAATATTCTGGAAATTGATATGATTATAGACTATTTAGACTTGGTTGTTTATATATATATATATCTATAATGATTTGTTAACAGAAATGAAACAGAAAAAACAATAACCCAACTAATAGCCCCAAAAATATAAAACTAAACACAACCCATAGAAGATATCAGGAAGCTATAAAAAAAAATATTTTAATGCTTGAGATGGCAACAGATAAACTGCATACCACTAATAATCTTGCTTTTAATGGCCATCCCAAAAGCATGAGGTATATACTAGGGCAGGCTATACAAAGATTTTCTTTTCATTCTTGCAATTTTCTGCAGGGCGTACACTGTCATGGGTTATATGCTAATATGGGTTATCTACATAAAACATGTTTTTTTTAGATATAGAATTTAGAAATGATATCTGCAACCTGCATAAAATTAAAAACATACAATTTTCTCTATTCTTTGGCACAACAATAAATATATTTATTGTTATATGTTTATCATTAAAAAACACATTATTAGTACCTTTTTCTCCAATTTCTTCCTCTTTTATCTCATAATATCCAATAGGAGAAATGAGAGTACTAGACGAGATACAAGTAATTTGTGCTCTTAATAAATTGATTTCTTTTCCAGGAAATGGAGGATAACTGAGAACCTATACAGAAATAGCAAATAACATTTAAGTCCAAAATAATATTTTTACTTGAATATATTAATATTTTATTCATCTTAAAAAATACTTCGTTAAGCATGTAGATATCTCAGATTAGTTCTATATGATGTTGCTTTTTGGAGATTAGGAAAATTGGTTAGACTCATGTAACTGGTTACATTACAAAGGAACAAAGATTACACAAAAGATAACACTGACTTGACTCATGGAAGGTCTATATTGAAAAGGGGAGAATAAAACAAGGTCACCATCAGCAATAATTCCTCAAGGGGTCAACAGCACCACCAACCTTTTATTATGTAACAGGAAAAATATTTACAAACATCACCACGACACAATGCCATCTACATATCATGTTTTACATACAATGTCATATAATATTTAACAACAACTTCAATCATTGATTCCAACAACTTTTAAGTTATTTTTAATAAAAAATCATTTTATTTTTAGAGTAAGCAACTTTTTCAACAGCAAAAAGATTTTTTAAAGAAATTTCTTAAATTATAAAAAAACTTTTACCAATTTAAAATTAGTGAGACTTTTTTTGTTTTTATTTCATGTCTTGAAATTTAACAATAACATAATACTGTATAAATTTTTATGAAAACAAAATTTAAGACAAAAAATCTCTGAAAAATTTACTTTGAATCACTCAATCCATTATACCAAAAGAAGTATAAATGAATTTAATCAAAACACTTAAGATTTTTTTATACTTTCTCTATATAAAAATAATTGAAAAATTCTATATTTTCTTTCATCTATAAGAATAACTTTCAAATATTGTAGAGAAATTTTTCAAAATAAAGTTAATTGTTATTTCCCAATAAACATAATTTATTTTAATTAAAATCATACTTACGGGTGTATCATACACACCAGTAAATGCCTTCTTAATGATTTTTGCAACAAATATTTGATCTGGTGTTACATTTGGTAGCAAAGTCCAAGGACCACCAACTAAAAAATAATTTAACAAACATAATTTTAAAAATAAAAATTCATATAATATTAAAAAATTATTATATAAAACTAATAATCAACATTAATATGCAATCTATAGTTTATGACATAATGATTATAAAAAATATCAATACTTATTATAAGCAATCTAAAACAGAATTAAAAATTAAAATGATATTAAATACTTTTCTCTTAATTTAAGCTTTTTTGATTTATAAAACATANGGAGAGACTTTAGTTACCACCTTGTAAAATGGAAATGATAAATAAAATATTCAGTATATATTAATTTTACCACATTGTATAGTGAGATATATTGATATCACATTTTTTTATCTTTTTGTATTGAATTTGTTTTTTCACGTTGTTAGAATATATCACTAGTTTTTAAGTATTCCTCTCTCTTCAAATTCTTATTCTTGTCTTTATTTTTCTCTTCTGTTTTTCTCTTTTCTTTCTGTTTTCTTCTTCCTTTTCCTCTCACCTGTGACAATCTGCAATTAAGTGTAGCAAGAGAAAGAGGCTAGCTTATAATTAATAACCAGATTAGGTAGAAGGCATGGAATTGAATTAAAAAAAAAAGAAAACTCAAATTTTAATTAAAGAGATATGAGGAGTTTGAGGAAGTATAAGCAAGTGGTTCTCTGTGATGGATCCAAAGGAAGTGTGGTGTGTTCAGATTAGAAAATTGGACAATTGAAAGAAAGGAATGAAAATCTATGACAACCCAATAACAGAAAAGCCAAATGTCACTAAGTTTGCTTCAGTTGATTTCTTAAATGAACATCTCCTGAATTCAATGATTAGTGTTCCATTCAGTGACCAGATGTCCCACTTTGGTGGGACAGTCCCAATTTTTAAAATTTGTCCTGCCTCCCGCAACACTTGAAAAAAGTCCCAAGTTTTGGAAAGANAGAAAACTTAAGAGCCCATAGAGATTCTTGTAAGTATAAAATGAACCTTTTAACAGAAAATAAAATCTTCAAGATTGCTATTTATAAATAAGGAAAGATTCAACATATTTAAAAAAACAAAAGGCTAAAAGGGCTTGGTCTATTCTCAGGCCCCAAACCAGCTCTTGACAGACCTGAAATATGCAAATGGCAGGCATGATTCAGGCAAGGTATTGTATTGTACAATACATGGAATTGCAGTAATTTCCCAGCATACATACAAAAGCTATACTGTAGATAAATTCTGTACTAGTCAGTCTCATAGACAGAGGTATCAAGAGACATCATGGAATCCAGGGAAAAATTTACATGGATCCCAAATAAATATATTATTTGAAAATTTGAGTTTTTTTATATGGATATATTATGTTTTTACAAAATAAAGAACTATTGTTATTGTTAAGCATTTGATATTACAATAGCATGTGATAAAATAACAGGTATATTAAATATTAAATAAAAATTGTTTTCTGTGAAACTCTGTATTGTCTGTTAATTAAGCCAGTATAATAAGTCCTGATAATAGTGAATGCATGTTTATAAACGAAAATTTATAATTTAGTAAGAAAAGGACATTGAGGCATTTTAATTAAATTACACTAATTTAATGTTTGGTAGCCTGTTCAGATATTTAATGTGTATTACTTAAATCAATTCTACTTTCAATAGTAGCAATCTAATTTAATATAGTTTTAATTTAATTATACAGTTTAAAGTACAAATTATAATTACTTTGATTGCAGACAAAATAGATATATTTATTTGCTTCTCTGCCAATGTCTTCTGGTGGAACATATTGTGTACTTTCTATTTTAGGTTCTAAAAGTCTGCCTAAAAAATAGATTCATTTTAGAACATTTAAAAAAGTATAGAAAGTTTTTTAAATAGCTTAATATATTAATGTAATTAGGCAATAATTTATAATAATAAAAATCTGCTTTTTTTTAGCTTACTTTCATAGTTGTTATTTAAATCTATCTAAAGACATTTAGGTGACAACTATTAAGAAAACATTGACATATTGCTTAGATTTTACTTAAATTTATGCTCTAGGCATGTTACAATTTCCATTTAGCCACCATATTTTGTAAGAAAATATGAGATCTGTTGCTTTTTATTAAATTCTAATTCAATGATCTAAATTTACCTTTTGATCATAGCTAAGTTCTTTAATTTTTTTAAAACATGGACATATTACATTTGAACTTTACTCTTTGCATTTGAACTTAAGGAGTTCAAATGCAAAGGGTAAATGCACTATGCATTCCTCAGTCAGATAAATTCTACAGTATGATTATAAAATGCTATCTGAGAGAAGTACTTAGGTACTTAAAATGCATTTTAAGGCACAATAAAATTTCATTGCATCATATTATGTGTTAATTCATAATGTTCAATTAAAGGAAAAAACATGTTTATTTTTTTCAGATTCATTACTGACATGATCATTGTGATATGATCTTCATCATCATGTGTAGTATTGCCATATTCAGCTTATAAGACACAAAGCAAGTAGGTGTTAAATATAGTAATTATAAAGTA